TTGACATTGTCAAATGTCAGCATTACGTGCAGCTTGCTTTTAATTTTTCCTTGAAGCCAAATTTCAATGACATGAACAAAGTACTAAGCTCTGCAAATACGATACGATAGAGAGAAAGATGTATTGAAGAAATATCCGTCTTATTGTTATAGAGACAATAATGAAAGAAGAGATGAAGACCACTATTCATATATATATATATATATTCATACATAATTGTTGAATCTAAAACGCGAAGGATAGGAGAGAGAGAGGAAGAATAGTAGGACAATAGTGAACAATAAATTCGTGTAATTTTTTATCATAAAATAGACCTCTTATTTATAAAAATTGATCAAAGCACAATTAAATGCCATAACCTTAAAGTATATAGGTATGATGGGGTTATTTCAATTTATACATAAATATGATCTCCGGGGCTCATGGATATGGCCGGGCTATGAATAGACTAGACGATCATCTAGCCGGCGGCCATATAGCATGCCGGTCATCTTGTCGACCAACCATCTATTCGGGCAGTTTTCTAATCGGGGTCATTGATCCGTGTAACCATTAGGTTGGGCGGTCGTTAGGTCGGGCTGCGATCAGGCTTGGCAGCTATGAGTCCTGGCAGCTGTGAGACAAGGCGAACGTAAGGTCGGGTGATGGCTAGCTAAGTGTTTACATTAATTATTATTGTAACTGGATGATCCATTTCTCTTTCAAGCTCTATCTGAGTTGGAAAGCGAGAAGCTCATCTAAGTGGGTTTGGTAAAACAAATTCTTCAGAAGTGATCCGCCCCATATCTGTCTAAGACGTATTGTCTTCCAAGTATGTGAGTTGGCCAGCTGAGCCTATGGCTCTAGGTTGTCTTCGTTAGGTCCCGTGGGGCCACGTCACCTCTTGTCATGTAAGAGATGATTTTATAATTTGTGTTGACATATTTTGATGTATACTAATATATATATATATATATATATAATTTGGACGATAAATATTTTCTTCTCCTTGTATTTCTTGCAAATTGATATCCTACAAGAAATGACCGCTTGTGAAAGTTGATAATTTCTCCTGTTGGAATAGTTTGCTGCCGTCACAAATATAAGAAGTGGGTCAAAATCCTATAAACGATTTCATATCATAGGTAGGGATGATTGAGCCCTTCTATCTTAATGAAGGATGGGGATCAATCGTTTCCTTTGATACAACAACGGCTCATTTTAGTGGCATGAAATAACAATAAATAAATAAATATCCTCCAATTCTTATTTATTCATAGATATGACAAAAAAAAAATGCTTTTTAGCTTTATACCAACCCAAATCTTCCATATGACATAAGAACTAACATCATTTTAACTTTTAAATGGTGAAATATATCTATTAATGCATAGGTATAAACTTGTATGTATGTTAAAACTTTAAGGAATTTGTGTTATATATTTTGTGCAAATCAATGCAAAAAAAAATCACATAATAAATAAATAATCAAACCTTGTGTGATTTACACAGTTCGTCACAATTAAGGGTGTGTTTGTTTCAGTTGTAGTTGTATGAAATCTCAGTTCTAAAACTATTATGAAAAATCTGTTGTTTAATAGCTGGTGTTCCACAAACAAGCAGATTTGCTTGAAAAATACTACTTTTGAAGTGTTGTCTGGAGACCAATGTATGAAATATCCTTCTGCTCATATTATATAAGATTCATAGTTTTTATAGATGTACGTAATTCTCATATTTAAAAATATCATTTAAACATGCAAAAATATAAAAATAAATTTGAAGTTAAATTGTAGAATCAAGAATTGCAAAGAATAATGAGAAGAGAGAAAGATCATCAATGATAAAATGATTTGACCATCCAATGAATCGGTGCAATCTGATTTAGACGAGAATCAATTTATTTGTGCCAATATGATAATATATACATGAATACTAATTTTTGTTGATTATGATTAATAGTAGTATTGAGAAAATTCTATAATTTAAGGGGAGTTACATTCATACCACCCAATTCTTATGTATTTACATGTATAAACCTAAAAATTCTTTTCAACATTTATATCATTCAAATCAGATGAAAAATATCATTATTTTAATTAAAAAAATAAATACAACTTTTCATGTATAATTAAGGTGGCATATATGTGAAAATTAAAATTTAAGCAGTCACTATGTAAATATACAAGAAGTAAGGGGTACGCATGTAAATCTAATGCCACATTAACGTCCAAACAGCTGATTGGACTTCTATTAAATTTTTTTTATATAATTTTATTTTGCTAAATTAAATTCTAATCTAATCTTAATTTTAAAATTCCTGGAACTTTAACGGCGTTTTTAATATTAATTTTAAAAAACACTACTATCTTTTATCATAATTTATGGGATCACTAGCATTTGGCATTTCCATAGGGATGCAGATCTAAAGTCGAAAACTTAAGGGTCTGTTTGGAATAGCTTATTGAATAATTTGTTGATAAGCTGATTAAAAATAATCTGCTGATAAACTAGGTGTGGTAGCTAGCTATTATAAATTTTTATTTTTTTTTATTTTTTTGGAAAAGTGATGAGGCTATGATAAAATCAATATAAAATAATAAAAAATTGAAATTGCAGGCGCTGGACCTCGCCTGCGGCTACGAAACCGTAGTTTTCTGCTCCGCGACGTACATACAAATTCCAATCAATGGTCTGTTTGAGGCAGTTTGTGTGTTTCAGGATAAACAGCTTATCCAGAAACGTGGCCCACGGGTCGACAGCGTGGTCGACCTGTGGTCTGCGTTTAGTATAAAAACTCAAACGCGGCAGAAATCGATTTCAAAACGCTCAAACCAAATGGTTAGACAATGTTTTCAAAAAATACCGCCGCACTTATAAGCTGCCCCAAAATGTCGCCCCAAATGTTCAATCAAGCGGCTCAAAACACAATTAAATCATAAGAGTGGTTCGAAAAGTTAAAACAAACTCATCCTAATCTTTCAAGTGCCCTATAAAGAAAAATACATTTGGCAAAACTTCCCAATTAAAAATAAAAAGATCTACATTCATGCCACTTACATATCTAACACATGTACTTCAATTTTTACTTACATAACACATCATTTAAATAATTATAAAAGTTGTATTTCACTTCTTAAAATTAAAATGATAATATGTTTCAGCTAATATGAAAAATTTGAGTAGTATAAATGTAAAGATAGAATTTAAATGTTAGATATGTGAATAGCAAAGCATTGGAAAACATGCATGTAAGCGCCCCACTGATTTCAATTTACATATTGAAAATAGAAGGCGAGGGGACAGAGGCATGTGTCCCTAGATTTCCCCCTGGCTACCTCCACCTATGGCTTCTTAATTATTGAGCTACTACTTAATATATTTTGACTGAATATTTATCTAAGAGCTGCCGAGAGGATGGGTCTATATATATATATATATATATATATATACATAATGAAATGACAATATTTCAGTCTAAAACACATGCTGAAATGAAAAGTACAATCTGAAGCACTTAGATAAGCACACATTCAACACCATTTTTTACAGAAAAAAATTGCACATATTATATATATAATCCATTCCACTTACATTTGCCATGCTGCAGATGATATGTATGTACAGGATTACTCTCTTTTATTGTGTGATAAGTAATGAACAAGTTTCATACATTGAAGAAGGTATAAGGTTAGTAAGTAGTAGTTAATTCTAAGCCTTCATCACATAATGAAACTTCATATACTGGGTTGGCTGTCAATTTTGTGTTCAGACAGCAGTTATTAGTAATTAATTAACTAATTATAGTTTCCAACACATACGCAGCTTATAAGCTGTTCAGAAGCTTATAGTCATGGCTGTAAATACAACTGAACCTCGCCATGTTCAATTCCTGATTGACTTTTCAATACACTGATTTTGAAAAATTACAAATCCAACAAATCTATTTATTTTAGTAACCCTGCGCTAAATAAATAGAATTTACTCTAAGAAAACAAATTTGGTAGATTGTTAAGCTTTTTCTCGCTCTTTTTATAGTACTATCAAGTAAAAATTTTTAATTATTTGTTGAGCTGCACTAATTTTCTATATTTTCACCAAACCCACGGCCATAAAATATATAAAATGTTTATGTCCTCAACTGTTATGTGCACAATATAATAACTATATAATTATTATATTCCCTCTTTCTTTATCTATCTCTCTCATCTCTTTCTCTCTCTTAGTAAGCAAAAACTTTAGAGGTGTTAAATTAATCACAAAACATTTGGCTTTCAAAATCATCTCTGAATAAAATATATCATAAAAATGTGATATTTAACCACTCTTATATCATGCTTTTCCAATATTTAGGATGCCTCAATTTATTTATTTATTGTTATTTTTTTTAAATATATTAACCGTATAGGCGCAGGAGACATTGCTTTAAACAACAGATTAGTTAATTTAATGATCAATTAATTATTCAGTTCACAATCATAAACAGTTTGTTTTTTATGACTTCAATAATGAATGAAAAGATTGCTAAAAAACTATATCGTAAAATTTGCATTTCTTTTTGGAGATTATAACTTAGGGTCTCTTTGGAGTGGCTCTTAGTTAATTATAACGATGGTTATAAAACTAGGATGAAAAAAATAATTTCTTAGAAAATTATGGCGGGATTTATATATATATATTAAAAATCACACCAAATTTCCTATAGCCACTACATTTTAACAAATCAGGTCGGAAAAAAAAAAGAATTTAGCAAAAAAAAATATTCTTCTAAACGTAATGGTGGTGGCGGTCTAAAACTCAAAGCAAACAGAAGACTGTTCCAAACAGAGCCTTCTAGCTATAGGATCTTATTTCAAATTGAAAAAATAAGAAGAAAGAAAAAAAAAACCCAAAAAAATAAATTAAAATAAAATCTTGCATCCACCACTATAACATTCATGAAGTTATAAAATCAAAATTCCATATACTAATTCGATGCTAATTATGCATGCATATTTCCATAATTCTAACACCATAACTCCATAAAAATCCCATTTTTAAACATAAACAAATCCAACTTTCACCAACTAAAATTTTATTCCCTCTCCATCCCTAAACAACTCACAAACTCCCCACAATATCATACAATATGTCAGCCATCCCCCCCTCACTATATACCTTATATAATTGCAAAGCACTCCACATTATTCCTAAACATTAAAAGAAAAAAAGTAATTAAAACTCTCACCCCCTTAATTTGATAACTGATCAATATAATTCATATACAAATATTCTTCTTCTCATCTTTCTTCTTCAATCTTTCCTCTCTTCAGAATCTCAGAAGTTTGGTCTTCCATGAGCCCACGGTCCGAATGCATCCACCAGCTGCCCGGAACCATTTGGCATCAGATTAGGCGGAAGGTTGAAGATAGGCATACCTGACTGCTCCGATAATCCTCCACCGCTGCCCAACCCCGTCGGCGACCTGCCAGGAATCTGCCCGCCTCCTTCATTTCCTTCTTCCTCTTCCTCTAACGGCAGCCTCTCATAAGTTGCGTTGGAGAAAGTCGCCGCGACTACCATAACCGGCCCAGCCGCCACCAACTGACCCACGACGCTGCCCCCGACTACCTGCCCCTGCCCTCCTGCGAGATAAACCGTCAGTCCGGTTGAGCCGGGAGGCGCCGGTCCGGGCAAAAACGTTCCGGTTAAGGAAAGGATTTCAAACCGGCCGTGAAGAGCTACAACAGCGCCAGGTGCCGCCAGTAACGTTAGCAACTGCGCCGGCGCCGCTTAATACACAGACGCCGCGTTGACGGCGGCGAGAGAACTGAGCAATAGAGTCGGCGACGTCAGCACCACCGGCGACTTCCATGACGTGGCTGCGGAGAGCGTTGGGGCTGTCACGTGTCACGAAAATAGGGGGTTTGGGTTTGTTTTTGGATCCTGGAGGACGGCCACGTGGCCGGCGATTGCCGATTTCGACGGCGCCTTCTCGAGGCTCGTCTTCGTTGTCGACTCTATCGTCATCTTGATCGTCAGCGGCGGAGCGGTTTGGATCCAAGGAGTCCTTGAGGCCGATGTTGATTTCATGGGCGAGTTTGATCGGTCCGGAGGAGCCGGAGGAGGCCGGTTCATTGATTGGGCCTCCGAGGCCGGCGGCGAGGCCTAACTGGCCGGCCCACCAACGGTTATTCGCCAGTTTTAGGGAAGCTTAGGGAACGGTCGAGATGAGAAGGAGGGGCTTGTTTAGCTGAAGTGCAAGTAGATGAAGAAGGAGGAGGAGCACGTATTTTTGAGGGGAGAGAGAGGTTAAGAAGAAGGGGGGATGGAAATGGAAGAAGGGTTGAGAGGGGAAGAGTTTCTTGTGTATTCCATTGACAAGAGTTCAACAACTATGAAGACCAAGTTGCCCTAATGGGGGTGTTCTGTAAATTAATTTAATGAAAAGATTCTCTCTCTCTCTCTCTCTAAACTCTATTATTTTATATGTGTAGCCATAAACTATTTGAAGTGGTTGGTTGTTTTCTGTATTATGAGATAATTTTGATTAAATTTTTATAAAAATGAGCTATAACTTCATTAAATATTTTTTTTGAAACGTGTGATATATATATATATATATATATA